TCATGTTCCTGACGATGACCCAGAACTGTTTTTGAAATATAGCAACAAAAATTTTTTTAAAAATTCGTCTATTAAATGTGGTTGAATGTAATTTAGGCAAAGTTAAAATCGAGACAATCTTTGCGTCCAGCGGTCTTTCACCCAGCGCGGGGGGCCCTATTTTAACTAGGGGCATACTGGCAGCGTTTGCAGTGCTAGCAATTTTTTAGCACGAGCTGGAGTTATTTACTTCTGATGAGTTTTAATAACTTATGTAATCACGTTTAAGCTCTTTTAAAATCAAAATTATGGACATTTTTTGTCCTTTGTAACCTTATTTGGCACTGCTTGCTATCTTAGACCAAGTTTTTTATTGAAGGTCACATAACTACACATCCATTGGTTACAAATCATCGGAGTTGACCGTGTTTTCATCGATGTCCGTCAGTTTAAAATCTGTGCTGCTCGTCTTATGGGAATCGACTTTCGGTTTAATAACGGAGAAGTTTGGGAGAAACTTTGTAACTTTTGTATGACTTTCTTTCGTCACTTTTTTTCAACTATGTTTCCTTAAAAAACAAAAGTTATTTATTTTTGAAAACGTTGTGCACATTTTCCTTTATCTTGCATGATTTGAATTCGAGGTATGTCCCCGGAATTGTCACAGCCGCGTAAATTTGTCTAAATGAGTGCACTTTGTCAGTCTGATGCCAGTCACATGATAGTACGTTTCACTAAAAAAGTCGCAGCCACGCCAACGCTATATACCAAATTGCGGGTTTTATGACTTCGAGTGTTTTTTTTAAGCCCTAAAACTAAAGAAACCTTCTTTCTGGGTATATTCGAGAAATGTGCTGAAACGCCATCACTGGCAAGAAACAAATGCATTCCTCTGCGTTAAATAAAAGGATATTTGTTTTTTGTTTACTATTTATTTTTTGAAATGACAGCCTTTTAGCAAGGTCTGGGACTAACTTCTGTTCACTTAGTCCTCTGTCTCCTTGATTGAAAACATACTTCAATATACTGCAATGTTAAAAACTGAATAAAAATATTTTTCACTAGCTTATGATTTAATGACAACGCAGACGTTTCGGTCAGAACTCTGACCTTCCTCATTGCGTAGCAATTAAATAGGTTTGCACGGCTAATTTAACGGGGTTGAAAAATTTAAATCAGCGCGCGCGATTTTTAAAAGAATTTATGATTGTTCTGTAAGCTACGGGTATCACAGTTCTAACATTTCCCAAGTTACAGTCGAGCTCAGAAAACCAAGCCGCGTTAATTTAAATTTTTCAACCCGTTAAATTACGCGTACAAACCTATTTCATTACTACGCACTGAGGAAGGTCAGAGTTCTGACCGAAATATTGTTATTCAGTTTTTATTGTGACTCTTCCTAGCTGCAATTTTAAAATACTGCAATGGTTTAAGGATTTAGGAAATTAAAAATACAGGCAGGCAATCTATTTTTTTTTTTTTTTTTGAAAAATCGTCGGTTCATCCGTAATTTCAATTAATACAACTGGGAATGCACTAAAGACCGAAATAATACTATTGGACAAGTTTGTATAGTCACAAGCCACGGTAACAAGCACGGAACTTTTTGAGATTTTTCGACTGCCTGACGTCCCATAACTAAACGTCAGGCAGTCGACTTTTTTGTGAAAAGTCGTCGGAACAACTGTAATTTCAATTAATAGCACAAGAGAAATGGAATAAAGACCGAAATAAGGGTCTTGTCAAAAATTAGCGGGGGGAGGGAAGGTGGAAATTGAAAAGTGGGTACTGGGAATAGGGTGACCAACCATAGTGGGGAAGTGAAATATTCTAACCCTACTGATATTAGACGGGCAAAAATATCGTGACCCTCCCCGTCCCCCTTCAACCATTACCACAAAAATTTATCATTGTCCCCAAGCATCCAGTGAATGGTGCAGGGCCTATAATTGGACCATTCTTGGATAAGGATAAGGATTAGGATATTTGATAGGCAGTTGATTAGGACATTTGATGCATCTATTCTAAGTATTAATCTGAGCAGAGGTCATGGAAATACTAGAACTGATTCAATAGCGGAAGTTGCTATTAGATTCCGTGAAAAAAAAGGAAATAAATGTAATTTTAAGCTTAAAACACTCTAAGGAACGGGCCATTAGATATTTGAGGGGGGTGTTGGGCAATAACCAAACATAACATTCGAGCAAGGCTTAACAACAAAAGTGACAAAAAAAAATTGGTGCAAGTGAATAATATCAGACTCACAGATGTGGAACACACTTTACACCAACAATGACATTTTTAAAAGTTTATTTCTTTAATATTTTGCATTTAACAAAACATGTCTTAACTGCTGTTTTTTCGTTTTCTGCTATGTTTTTAGTGACAGACATGATGATTATTTTGGTGGGCTATGGCGCATGCATTTTCATCAAAAGTCGGTTTTTGGCCATTTTGGAGGGGTATAGCCCCTACATTTTCATTAAAACCCGGTAATTATTTTGGCATTTTTCGTGGGCTATAGTTCATGTATTTTCATCAAACTTCGGTCATTTTTGACCATTTTGGAGGGCTGTAGCCCATGATTTTCCGACATATTTTATCGATATATAATGTGTTAAAAACAATAACTTGAAATCAAACTAATGAAATAGTTCAACATTAACTTATAAATTATGCGGAGAAAAAAATTTAAGAAAGTAATATATTAAATGGTTTGAAAAAAAAAGTCGAGTGTAAAACAAATTCTTCCACACTCA